CTCAAGGAGAACTCCTCCTCCCCCCCCCCCGTATTTATGGATATTCAGCAAACAGAGTTAAATTACAATACTTAATCAGCCGATTAGACAAATTACCATCATTAGTTAAATGCTTTAAAGTGTCTTTCATTTTCTCCCAGAGAAGTTGGATTCATATGCTAATAACTTCAAATTTCATCAAAAAGCTTTTATAATTGATCAACAAAATGTTTGACAGCCCCTGAAATTCTGAAAAAATCCAAATTGGCTCTAATTGCCTTGAATTCCCATCATTCTCAACAATAGTGGACTTACGTAATGATGGTAGTCCATGTCCTATGTGGTGTCATCTAGTTACACTGAGCTGCCGCGCCTATTACTCCTGGGAAAGAGTGAACTACAGTCATTGTTCATTGAATTTCTCATGTTTTCCCCTTATTTTTAACACCTTTCAGAACAAACTACAGTCACACAGCAGAGGTGAATACAATGTTTACAGTACCTTCCAAAGCCACGAACCAGAGTTTGATTACTTGAAAAGCTTAGAAATTGAAGAAAAGATCAACAAAATTAGATGGTTACCCCAGAAAAATGCTGCTCAGTTTTTATTGTCTACGAATGGTAAGACTCTTCTTGCTAACTCTTGATAGTTGATTTTTATTAAAGCAAGTTTCCCACGGCTGTCTTTGTCCTGGTAGCTTGTCCTGTAAATTGTATCATTCCTGACACTGATATTACAGGATTTTGTCTAGGGGCTTCCTGGAACCATCTGGCCAGGAACCAAAGGGGATGTTATGATCTGGCCTGTCCCAGTGGATGGTATTGTTACTGTTTTGAAATGTATATAATTTGAATTGTGTGTTTTGATTTTTTTCTTGATGATTGTTGCTCAGAGCCTGCAAGATAGGAGGAACATAGACATTATTATTTATTTTATAATATAATATAATATATATTATTATATATATAAATCAGTCAAGTAAGGTTCTTGCTGTATTTTTACCCCTCCTGTAACTTTTGTTGTTGTTGTTCTTTTCTGAACTTTCTGACCTCTTCTGGTTGCCTCCCCTTCATCCTTGACTCCTGAGTTTGGGGGCTCCTTTGATGTGAGTGGCACTAGCCGTGGAGAAATGAACACATATGACAGTGCCCTTCTCCTTCCAAGCAATCCTGCCTCCAAACTCTTCAGTGCAGGGCTTAAAAATAAAAGTATCGTGCGTGTATACTTTGAAATAGAAAAGTATGATGCTTTTGTTCACCCCTGGAGCCAGAATTAGTGTATTATTTTGCATTCCTTCACGGCTGCTACCTTTTTAATCAGGAGCCCTGACTATTGTCCTTTGGTTCTTTATTTATTTTTTCCCCATGACACACTGTGCACGTCCAAGTCAGACTTCTGAAGTGCATCTTCTGAAAAGTTCTTCACTTTGGAGTGCATACAAACAAGACAACACTTATTCAGATATCAGCTCAAATCCTTTCTGTAAAGCTTTCAACATAAACTTTATAGTCCCTCTTCCTAAATAGATGTCCCCAACCCGGTACTTTCCTGATGTGTTGGATTTTGATTCCCATAATCCCAACTGGAGATAATGGGAGTTAAAGTCCATGTCATCTGGAGGGCTCCAAGATTAGGGAAGGGTGCCCCAGTCAGTCTAGAGCATGGCTGGGTTGGCACATCATATTAAGTTAAGTTAAAATAGGGTTAAGTACTTGGTGGTTCCAAGGGTTACAGGAAATCCAGCTATAGCACAGCTTATTTGTTTGGGTATAGCATGTGATGAAAACACAGCAGCTATATTTTCTTGACATGGAGTTCGAGTGTGTATTGTGTGAACTTAGCTGCATATAACTGAAATAAAGAATTCCCGGTTTACTCTATCTCAAAACCTTCCTCTCTGTTCTCTGCCTCCACTGAGTTGAAGTTTATGTTCCAAGCACCAAAGAACAGGGATCTGGTCCTCTTGCATTCTGCAAAGCACTAAATGGTTGGTGCCTTTTCATCTAGCAACCCTTTTTCCAACCCTGGCGACTGTGATGAAACTGGGAATTCTCCAACCTGCAAAAGCCATTGTCTAATATTGCTGAAGTCTCACAGGAGAACCTGGTGCTTTTGTATCATTTCATTTGGAGAGCTGGAGGCATCTCTTGGAATGGGAGGTGCAGCGCTGCCAGGGCAAGTTAAAGGTGCAAATTATCCAGCATCCATATGTGTGTCTGGAATTAGCAGTCATAGTCTAGACTCCGAACTGCCACCTGGGTGGTAAGTTCCAGAGAACAACTGTGGTACCTGTAGACTTGAATCATATTATTTCTTCTGTGATCAGTTCTACTGGCAAAGGTTTTGGACATTCTCAACAGTCCTTATTACCTTAATGTGTTCCAGACAAAACAATAAAACTATGGAAAATCAGTGAAAGAGATAAACGGCCGGAAGGCTACAACTTGAAAGAAGAAGATGGGCGGTATAGAGACCCCACAACAGTCACTACTTTACGGGTGAGCAGCACCTTTACTTTTTGTTAAGCTTGGATCATTACATCTGGCAGAGATACAACATAGTCCCTGTTGATTTTCCCTTACTGGCTTAGTCTAGAGATCACTACAGAAAAATAGGTTTAGATAAAACGCCATTTTGCAGTTAGCTGGCATCTCATTTGAAGGTGTGTTCGCTGTGATGCCCAAAAGAACAAACCACTGTTCAGGTCCTTGTTGCACTCTGGATGGAAAGCAAAAGAGACAAGCATCTGGGTCCAGAATCCAGAAAGCAGAATAGCCGTCTTGGACTTCAGGGCAACCTGAAAGACTGTGAGATCTCATGTGAAAATGTTCAAATCTGTGAGATTCCGGTTTCCTGAGATTTCAGCCATTTTTAATTTTATTTTGGTATGTATATTTGTGCATACACACTCACATACCTACATGGAATCTGTGGAAGCCATTTACAGGTGTTGTGGCCGCTTGGTTCCATGTTGCTGACTCAGGCCACATAACAGTGTCTACTTTCCATGCAATGAGCAGGATTGTAGCCTTGCTAACCCTGTCACTGCTTTAGTTCTGGGGCCCACTCAATTTTCAGAGGGGTTGAAATGATGTGCTTTCAGGGATTTCTGGTGAGAGACAGCAGACCTGGCTGTCATAGCATGGAGGGGTTGTTTGCTCTGGTCTTCCTCTTTATACCCAACCCATTTTGATGCTTCCATTTAGGAAGGTCTTGGTTTCCTCCCTTTTGATCTGTTGATACTGAATGATTTGTCCATAATTGCTCAGATATTTGCAATCCTGTGTTTTGCAGGTACCCGTATTTAGGCCCATGGATCTCATGGTGGAAGCCAGCCCACGAAGAATATTTGCTAATGCTCACACGTATCACATCAACTCTATCTCCATTAATAGCGATTATGAAACATACCTGTCTGCGGATGACTTGAGGATTAATTTGTGGCATCTAGAAATCACAGATAGAAGTTTTAGTATCTTTTTACTCCAGTGTGTTTGTGTTCCGTTGGGCTGAAGATCAGATTGTTGTAGGAGCTGAGAGGAGCTGACAGACAGACAGTTGAGTCTACACAATTTTCTGCTCATCGGGTGCTGTTGTATGATCACACGTGATAGCTTACCAGGCATCTGGGAATTAATTAATTTATTTATTGGTGCAATCTTGGGAGATTTGGGGAGACTGTGGGAATTAATTAATTTATTTATTGGTGCAATCTTGGGAGATTTGGGGAGACTGTGGGAATTAATTAATTTATTTATTGGTGCAATCTTGGGAGATTTGGGGAGACTGCAAATATATTCTGGGAGTGAGACACCTCTTGGTTTCATTTCATTTCAATATAGATATAAGGAATACAATTTTAATTAAATACCATTAATACGTTTACTCCTGATATATTTAACAGTTTTCCCAAAACTTCAAGTTGACAGCAGTTTTTGAATGGGTGTGTAGACCCTACACAAAGCACAGGTGGTGGTAGAAGTTCTACCTGTGCCTTAAACTATCTTTTAAAATCATTTTATAGCATAATTCAACTCTCTTATACATATACTGTAATGCCTTGAGTTTCACAGTCCAGATCCCTGCTATGATCAGTAGAGTAACATAAATATTAAATAGGAAGGAGGATTATTTACAGTGCTGTTTACACTCTCTGGTCTACAGTGGATGACAGCGCTTAGCTGTGGCTGATACTGAAAAAGCTAAGCAGGTCAGGCCTGAAGAGTACTTTGATGGGAGACCACTAAAAGATCCTTGGGCTGTAGACTAGATGGGGAATGATATAAATGTAAAAATAATGGAAAAAGCACTGGCAAACCACTTCAAAACTGCTGCCAAGAAAATATGGCTGTGTCTATGTACGCGCTGAAGACTTGTACCTTGTACCTTTCTTCCTCTATGGAAAATGGGTGAGATAGCCCTTTCCCCAAGAGGTAAAGTTGATAGAATTGAGTTTTTGCAGCCTCAAAGCCTCCAGTTGCAACCGTCTGTACAGCCCAGTAACCAGCTTCGTCCAGAGTGATGCTTTCTAGCAATTTATTTTGGGCCCAGTCATGCGTTTAAATGCAAGTGTGGGCTTTGAACGTCCCTGAAGAGAAGACTCCTTAATGCCAACAATTTCTAGATATCGTAGATATTAAGCCTGCCAACATGGAGGAGCTGACAGAGGTAATAACAGCAGCCGAATTCCACCCGAACAGCTGCAATACCTTTGTGTACAGCAGTAGCAAAGGAACTATTCGCCTGTGTGACATGCGTGCGTCGGCTCTCTGTGACAGGCATTCGAAACGTGAGTTGCTTTTTCTGTTCTGATTGAGTTTTGTAGCACCAAAGCAAATCAGTATAAAGCAACAGAGTGGAAAGTCCATTTCAGTTGATACCCCCCCACTTTTCATTTTGTTGCTGCAAAAAAAAAAGACGTGCAGTTTAAAATACCTTTGACCCAAGTACTTCCATGTCGGGATAGCAAACAAATGGAAGTAACTGTAGAACGATGGGAGCGAATTTTAAATACGCCCTAATTCTCCAGATGTAGGAAGTGCACAGTCCGACCGCAACATGATGAGAATGACGGGCCCATAAGCTTCTGGTGGCCATCCTGCACCTGAAGATGGAAAATGTCAGCTTGGCCCCTTCTTGGGGATGCGGGGGGGTAGGGTAAGGGGTGGTTGCATATTCCAGGACCTAACAGCCTTTTCAGGCAGAAGTTCTTGCGGTGCAGAGCTGTGCAGTGGGGCACACTCTTGGCTGAGGATCTCACAAAAACACCAAAGGTTTGCAGCATTTCAGCAACCTCTTAAATTTTATGCAAGAGATGCTCCTTTTATGTGTCCCTCTGTGTGTATCACTCACCCACCTCACACTCTTCAATTTTGGATTCTATGGGCATCATTTAGGAGCTAAGGCTGTATTACTACCCCCCGCCTTTCTTTAAGCAAGTTTCTGCTCTTTGTTTGCAGAAGATACATTGGAAAACACATAGGCAGTGTGTTTATAGATCTCCATCAAAGGGTGATTATGGGACTGACATGTCTAGTGAATGGGCTTCAATCTCTTTTGGAACACCTTTGCTCCTGATTATTGGCAAAGTGCAGATGAGTTGCTTCCCTGGATTTCTGGGCTGCAGAAAGTCACTCTGCATCAGAAAATAGGGGTTAGCTGGCTGCAGATATTAATTTATAAATATATAATAAACTAAGGCCTGCTTCTGCTGGTCCTTGGAGCTAATGCCATCTGTTTAGGAAAGTTGAGCTCAAATTACCTCTTGCCCCAGGATCCTTGTTTATTGGGCCTTTGATGGGTAACTTTTCATCTCAGAAACATTTGGCTTCCCAGGGCTAATGCTTCAGGTTTTATTTGTTAGTGTGCATGAAAAGGGGAATATTCATCTCATCGAGGTGAGCCTGGCAAATTAATGTGCTTGTATTTCACTTGCAGTGTTCGAGGAGCCGGAGGATCCAAGCAGCCGATCCTTTTTCTCAGAAATCATCTCCTCCATCTCTGATGTCAAATTTAGCCATAGTGGTCGATATATGATGACTAGAGATTATCTCTCTGTGAAAATTTGGGATTTAAATATGGAAAACCGACCTGTGGAAACGTACCAGGTGTGCCATACAGATACACAGTTTGGGGATCAACTTTGGCAAAAGGCTTAAGTCAAGGTTTGGTAGGATAGTGAATATAGATGCTGTAGCATCCATAATGTCACTAGAGGACACACCTTTATCTCCACAATTAAATATTTTGTTTGTGGATTTAAATAATAAATAATTCAGAATTTCCTGTGGAACTTCTCTCAGAAGTTCTGATGAAGTTATGGACGTTTTTAAGTTTTAAAATATATATCTCTATTGGTGCCTGCAGTAATGTACTGGTGCCTATTCCTTGGGAAGGTGGCTGGCCCTAGCTTCAGGTATGATTTGTGGCTGAGTCATTTTCATGAACTGGTAGAACTGGTCCAGTCATTCTAGAGCTGGTATTCCCCAGATGTGTTGGACTGTGACTTCCATAATCTTCCTGAGGAAATTATATTTGAAAATCTGGAGGGTAGGCCAGTGTGATAGCAATTCTTTGTCTTCTCATGTGATGTATATCTAAAGAAAAATACAGGAGGCCAATTTGATAGCTGTCTTGACAAGTTGGCCAATGTCTATTGGAGAACACTTTTATTCAACCAGCAGTGTAAAATTCTTTGTTTTTGCTTCTTTTAAACAGTTTTAATTTTTGCATTACTTCTCGTTGTTTGCCATCCTGAATAAAGTGTATATGCTGGAAGAATGGAATATAATTTTATATATGTCTGTATGAATTCATACTTTTGGTCATGATTTCAAATCCAGCATATGCATTTGACATTATCAAGTCTTCTGTTCCTTCTGGCTCCTTGAATGTTTCCTTAAAAATGGTCAGACAGGATCAGAGGTTCTTCTAAAGTGATCTCTAACATAGCCTGAATAGCTGAAGGTGTGGGAGGAAATTGTAAGACTGCCATCCAATTTAAGGGAAACCTTTTAATAAGCATGATGAGTTTTGCATGAATAAGAACATAATCTAGAAATAAAGAATGTTTTATTTTTGGATGATGTGAACTTTCATATTCATGCAATCATTCAGAATCCTAAGTTATAGCCTCTCCCTATGAAAGACAACTCAAAACAGTTAATAACTGTTAATATAACATGTATATTATATTCATGTGTGTTCTATTTCCAGGTACATGAATACCTCAGAAGTAAACTTTGTTCGCTCTATGAAAATGACTGCATTTTTGACAAATTTGAATGCTGCTGGAATGGGTCCGATAGGCAAGTTTCACTTTTTCCTTCCTCCTCCTCTTAGCACTTCCATACTAATTGACAGTTGAAACTTTTTTCAACTGAACACCTAGAAGGCTTGCTGCATGGAAAACCTCTGTAGCTTGCACTGTGTTTTAGGGTGAAGCTACCTGTTTGGGGAAGATTTCTAGAAAAGAAAAGAAAAAAAAAACAAAACAGGTGTAAGCAAGTAAAAGAGAATTAGCTGGATAACTTCATTACTTTAGTTTATCCAGTGAAGCATCTAACATGGGTGACTCTATACTTTGTGAACCTATGCAATAGTCCATCAGATGGTCTTTGAAGGACTGCTTTTTTTTCTTTTTTTGCTATAGTTACTCAGTCTTTACTATATTTACCTACTAACATGTGGAAAGGGTAGGGAGATCTGCTCCAGTTTTGGCTTGGGGCCCCTGATGCTTTGTGGATTCCAGATGAGTTGCATTAACCAATTCCAATCTTAGGTTATCCAAGCAGAATGGAATGCAGTTATGTAACCTTAACCCAAGGTCAGATAATTGGTTCATTTAGCCCAGTGTTACGTGTTGAATGTAGCAACTGATGCTACCTGATCTTATGACCTGGGGATCCTAAGGATTAGATCTTCCTGCAGATATAGTTGATGCTCTGCTAATATGCACCGATCCTCTCCCTTCTATAAATTATTACTACATTGGCTGTTCTGCTTTGGACACTGCTTAGAGTAGCCTTGATAAAGCAGTGTATACATCTATAAACAAATTGTATCAGAACTTACATGTATATTACTATGGTTTGGTATTTCTGTCTTACCTTCTCCAAGTGTTGAAGATGACATCTGACTCCCCTTAGCTTTATAATAGGTGGAGAAGACTGATTGACCTAAGTATACTCGGTGAACTTCGTGGCTGACTGGGTTTTTAAACTTTGGTCTTATTTTGGCATTCTGAGCGCTCCCGACCCAAGTGGCTTCTAAACATGTGACTTCAATTCGTAGAATTCTCCAACTGGCAAACAATTGCTGATAATGTTGGTAGTTGAAGTCCATTCATCTGGAGGGCTTCCAGGATAACCACGTCATGCTATAGAATCTTTATAAACAGTTGCTCTATATCTCTTTGTTCCAGTTCTCACTTCCTTTTCTAAACTTTCCTTTAATGGCTTAGTTTGCTTGTCAAGCCACCTGGGGCTGCCAGGTTTTTTTTATGTGTTTTTTTTTAGCTGTGTGGATCTCTGATTAAATGATTATTTAAAGATAGAAGAAAAAATTATGGTGTGGGCCTCCCTGTACTTCACATTTTTGAGGGTAGATATCGATTATGGCTTGGAGTGATCTTTCATTTCACCACTCTGCTGCCAAAAATTAAAACTTCCTCCCTACAAGTAGAATGTTTTGTATGCTATGATGGATGAGGTCCTAGCCTAAGCTCCTTGATAGCTAGGTGACCTTTGGATATATAGAGGAGTTCGTTTTGTTGTTTTTCTTTTCTCAAGATACAGTTTTCCACCTGCAGCTTGAAAGGATTTAGTTGAGGCAGCTCTTTATTTCTGAAGTGGGGGTCTGTTGTTTTGAATTCCACCTTCACTTAACACCATTTCAGCAGCTTGTAGTGAGCAAAGATATATATCGTACGACTCTATTCTGGCTCTTAAGATGAGAAAGTGACTTGGAGTTATTGATGGCAACGTAGTTGAGCAACACAGAAACATCAGAATCATGAGTGGGAATGTCACTGTTCCCAGACTGGCAATAATTGCTTCCTGGAAAGCAAGTAATATACAATGCACGGAAGTGAGTGAGTCATGAAATGGAACTTTGGGGCAGTCAAAATTATACTGGACTTTGAGAACTTCACATCTCTACTTGGGAACGAAGTTCACCAGGTCTACTGGGCTTAATCACTTATTTATTTGTTTGTTTGTTTGTTTAACTTGTCCCCACCCATCTCCCCCCAATGGGGGACTCTGGACGGCTCACAACATATTAAAACAATAAATAGATATCCAATTAAAATTTATAACAGCACACGTACACATTTACCAAGTAAGCTTTCCCACAAGGAGGTTAGGGCAAAACAGAAAGGAATCTTGTATCTCATTTGTAATTCTTTCATTAAAATGTTCGCAACAAATGAAAAATTATGGGTCCCTGTTGCAGTTTTCAGCCTGTTCCCTAAAACATCTAGTCAATGAGAGATGCAATTATAATTCATTATCCTTGATACTTATATTTATGATTCGTTTTATTATATTTTTGGATCAACTGGCATTTAGTAAACTGCCCACAAGAACATTGCTCTGAAGAAATTAGGAACTAAAAGGGGAAAAAATAAGCACTGTGCTCTCGTTTTCCCAATTAAAAACTGCTTGATTAAATGGTCAGTAGTCAGAGTCTCTTAAGTATGTAATTCCAGCTCTCAAGAATTTCAGTATATGGATTGACAGTTTAATGTAACAACTCTGTGTCTGTTTCTCTTCCAAAATTCAGAATACATATAGTCACATTTTATAGTCACATAAATGCATGTTTATTTATATACACACACACCCAAAATGCATTTATTTATTTATTTATTAAATTTGTCCCCCGCCCATCTCCCCTCACTGGGGGACTCTGGGCGGCTCACAACACGTTAAAACAATAAATAAATATACAATTAAAATCTCTAACAATACACATTCACATACATACATACATACATACATATATATTACACACACACACACACATAATGCATTGTATTCCATAACTACTAAAGTATTTGCAAGTTTTTAAAACTGAATAGACTTTGGATAAATTAAGGAAATCCCATTGCTGTACCATTTCTGGTAGCTCTCCCGCCCCGCCCCCCCTTGCAAACAAAGGGCCACCAACTGAATGAAAACAACTAGCAACAGAAGGTTAGAACCAAACGATCAGGATATTTCAAGGATCAGAAACACGAAACATCTTTTTGTTATTCTCTTTGTCTACAGCGTTGTCATGACGGGTTCCTACAACAACTTCTTCCGAATGTTCGATAGAAACACAAAGCGCGACGTCACATTAGAAGCTTCTCGGGAAAACAATAAGCCTCGTACGGTTTTGAAGCCCCGTAAAGTCTGCGCGAGTGGCAAACGGAAGAAGGATGAGATAAGTGTTGATAGCTTAGACTTCAACAAGAAGATCCTCCACACAGCCTGGCATCCCAAGGAAAACATAATCGCTGTAGCCACTACAAACAACTTGTATATATTTCAAGACAAAGTCATTTAGGGTAGTGGTCCTATCAGAAGAGTTCACTTCCTGTCTAGTTCAGATAGGTGAACTTAGCATTTGTAAACAATATAGAGGAGGAAATGGAGCAAGTGAGAGAGAAGTCCGTTGCGGTGCAACTTCCCCAGTGTTTAAACAATGTGCCATAGTGACAACCCATTTTTCTAGATAGCTACATGGATGGTCTTTCTCTCTCTCTTTGCTGGGCAGTTCTCCACATCCACTAGCCGTTTAGGTGGGGGTAGGGCACTTTTTAATGTAAAATGACTACTTGCACCATCTCACCTAATGGACTAGAGATTGGATCCTTGCCAACATTGGGTTCCTCCAGTTTTTTATGCCTTCCATTGTGATGACGTCAGCCACAGAGCAAAGCCTTCAAGTAATGCTGTGGGATTTAATTGTGTAACCTCATTACTGTATTATTTGTGGCCCTTTTTTTTTTTAATTAAATAACAGCTTGTTCTTGCTGTGGCTTGTAGCATTCCTCCTATGTCTCCGAGACTCCTTTTCCCTTTTACAATCCCTTTCTCCAGCCCTGTGGTGATGGTGGTGTCTAGAGAAGAAGACGACGAAAAATGAAAAGCACATGAAATGGGTCAGTGGTCAAGGGGGGAGGGTCTCTTGCAAAGAGTAAAATGTTTTAATAAAATGTTGACTGCAATCACTCCTTGCCATGTCTGGCACTGAAAATGAAAAAGGAAAAACGTAAGGGGGAAAAATATACTGAATAAAAATGTCGAAGAACGGTAAATTGTTTTTTTTTTCCTTTTCAATCTACCTCTTTATATTAAAAATCTTGTTTTGTTTTGTTTTTTAAGTTGGATACATGATGAAATGGTCTGATAATGATTTTAACCAGTATTAACTTTCACGAGGAAAGGGAGAAGTAGGTGTTTTTTTTTAATGACTTCTATATAAAAATGCTAAAGATACTTTAATATTTATCTGCAGTTTCCATTAAAATAACTTCTTGGAACACTCTTGGATTCTGCTGTTACATTGAATTAGTAATTCCTTTGTCTCATGTCATCTCAAATCTGAGCCTTCTCCCTTTCTTCCTCTTTATTAACAGAATTTTGTCAGAATTGGGGAGGGTCTGAATTTTGTAGAATAGTACTAAAGTTTTATGGGACTAAACTTTTTCATGTGTTAATCCCTTTGTCCTAATTTCAGTGAATGCCTTGTTTCAGATTCAGACTCACACAACAGTGCTTTTCTTTCTTTTTTTAAAAAAAAGAATTAAAGTTTCTTGTTTTTAAAAAGAATGTCGTACCAAATTTAATATGAAGTGATTTGAATAGATAAAAATACATTCCTGACAATCCCTATACTTAAGTATTTTTATTGCTACCAGTAATTTGTACAGAATTGTAGTTTGACCTTATAAGCATTCCTCTTTTTAGGTGGCTTTTTGAAACACTTGTCATTACATCTGAAAAGTCACAGTGATCAGAAAATGCTTCAAGTCCCCAGGTAGATCCAATAAATGATACGTTGGCATATCATTTAAAATACTTAGGCACCATATTTAGTGCTCACATATTACCTGTCTCCATTTTTAGGTATAGTTCCCAAACTTTCTATAATCCCTGTGGGAATCCCTCCTTGTGGGGGAGTTGGGTGGTGATATAAATTTGACATATAAATAAATAAAAATAAATCCTAACTTAAGGACAGCCCCTCTGAAGGCAGACCGACTTTCTTTTAACATGGTAAACCAGGCCATTATTTTACAATTGGGGGCTGAATTTTTATTGATTAGTTTCAGCAGCATTGGGCCACAGGTTTGAGTGGATGGGAGAGGTGGTATCATGATGTCCCATGCGTGGGCTGGAGTGATTTTATGTTTTTATTTTGGGGGACAACTTTTGATTTTTTTACTGTTTTGGGTACAACAAGCCTGGTTGAAGGCTTAGCTGAGTGCTTCTTACTTTCTTTAATTTACTTCTGGAAACTAATAGGAAATCACGCTAGCCAATATTGTGTGGCCGTTCTCTACAGCTTCTCCTTTTAAAGATACCAGAAATTCATCTTAGGACCTTTTGTTTGTCAAGTAGGTCCTCTACCACTTAGCGCAGTCTGCCCCACCAATGAGGAAAAAAGTGTGCTGGTCTAGAAGATGTGATGGTCTCTAGTCTCTTATACAAGACAGGCGCGTGGGCAGACCAAAGTCTGAACAATTACCCCCACTCCAGAATGACTGGCATTGGATGGTCGCCAGGGCCCTTGGTTCCATCTGAATGGCCGTGGGAATGCATTCCAGTTTTTTCAAAAAGCTATTGACATGCAGTGCAAAATGGGTGAGAATGAACCAATAGGTTTCAAAAGATGTTCAGAAACTTAGTAGGGCATTTGTGTAGCCTTTCAGAAAAAAGACCGGCATCCGAATGCTAAATACAGGTAGTCCTCAACTTACAACCATTTGTTTAATGATTGTTCGAAGTTATGGTGGCACTGAAAAGAGTGACTTATGTCCAGTCCTCGCACTTAACGACCATCGCAGTCCCTGCAGTCGTGTGATCAAAATTTGGGTGCTTGGCAACCGGGATGTATTTACGACACTTGCAACACCCCTGGGTCATGTGATTGCCATTTGCCGCTTTCCCAAGGGGCTTCCGACAAGCAGTGGGGGAAGAAGCCATGTTCGCTTAACCACGTGATTCACTTGACCGCGGCGAAAGGTCGTAAAATTGGGCGCAGCTTGCGTAACAACCACATCGTTTAGCAACGGAAGCTCCGATCCCAATTGTGGTTGTAAGTCAAGGCCTATCTGTACAAAACTATACAACTGATTGTTATTCCACGTTGTGCACTATACAGCTTGAAACCACCCCTGGGTAAAACTCTTTGTACCCTGTGGGGTCTTTAAGCATGGCCCACAGGGGAGGAATCTCCTTAGTCACCTGAGATCATCATCGTTCTTCCAACTTGTATGAAAGGAAAAAACAACGCCCGGTTTACAATCTTAAAAAAAAGGAGGGGACGTGGAATTTTGTATTAGCTTGCAGTTAAAGCAAAATGAAACAGCTTTATGTGTTGTTTTCTGTGTTCAACAGGTGCTGTTCTATTTTCAACAGTGTTGTTCTTACCTGTAAGTATAATCAAAATCTCAGCACTGAATAGCAATTCCAATAAGCTGCTACATACTGTACTCATGGCCTGGTTTAATCAGGGCTTAATTATCTGTGCAAGAAATGGAAGTTTTGTGCCCACGTGTGCTGTCCCTTTGTTCCTCCTTTCTTGGTGCAATCAAGAATTATGATTACCTTATTTGGAACAAGCCAGGACATTCAGTTTTAAACTCTTTTAAAATCATACCTGATTCTGAAATTGGTATCTATAGAAAAATTATGGTTAATTGGAAATTCTTGGTTGTTGGGTCATGCCAAGAACAAGCAACTAGACTGAGTGTGTGAGAAAAGTCTCATTAATATTTTGGACTGTTACGCCGCGTTAAAATAATCCCAGTGTGATTAATATCCCATTCTGAAATAATTGTCTAACCAAATTTGAACTGGTGCTTTGCTTTGAGTAGAAAGTGCTTTCACAAAAGGTTGGTATGTAAAAGTGCAAAAATCAAAACAGAAGCTTTGTACATATGAAGAAACTGGCTGTGTATGTGGGGGGGGGATGCAAAACAGATGGGTCAATTGTTCAAAATATGGAGCGTAAAAAATAATGATATCTTTGGGCTTAGGATAACAGAAATTTATTTATTTATTTAATTTCTATAGCCACCCATCTCAACAAGCGACTCTGGGCAGCGCACCATCATAAAAACGAAAACAATTAAAACAATATAAACAAACATATATGGTTGCCAAGTAAAATTTTTGCCATAGGTGTCAATATAGCCAAGAAACGGGGCCCTTAACACACATACAGGGCCCCAGGTCCTGGCACAAAACCAGGTCTTCACAGCCTTACAAAAGGCCAGCAGGATTGGGGTCATCCTAATCTCTGAAGGGAGAATGTTCCAGAGGGAAGGGGCTACGGCAAAGAAGCGACTTGATCCCCTAGATGTGAGCAACTTTGACCCCGTGATGCGCAGCATATTCCGCACAGCAACCCTGTAGGTGAAACCCAGTATTCCTCCCTCCAAGGAGGGACCAGGTCCCCTGAAATAGGGCCACTGGGTGACTATGTGCGGGCACAATAAAGGCAGACAAATAATCACGTTTCGTCCTTACCGCCACAAGGTAGGCTCTAATATCTAGTATGTTCCATCATCTTCGCTGCCCATCATCCTCCAGCAGTGCTCTAGGCGTCTCTTAGCCCTCTTTAGTTCTCCCGGCTCTTCCGTATACCACCGAGAACTATGGGAGCCGTGGGCATGGAAAGGCCGCTCAGGTGCAATCCAGTCCAAAGCCGTGGCCATTCTCCCATTCCAGGCTTCGGTTGGACCGTGTAGGAGACTTCCCAGAAGAACCCCAAGCTCCCTGTGAAACCAGATCGGGTCCATTGGTCATCTGGGGTGGGCTGATCTCATAGGCTCAGCCTCCCTGTGGAGGGGGGTGATGCAGAGAATGGGAGGCTTGCCAGGGAGTGGTCTGTCCATGGCAAGGGAGAAACCGGTATCTCCCCCAGTTTCAACACCCTGCCTCTACTCTGACCGAAAAACCAAGTCAGGCTCTTGATGACTTGGGACAGGCCCATGGCTGTCATGGGGGCCATGAATGCCTGAGCTACCTCAGACCCCACGCTCAGAGAAGGCAAGCTGAAGTCCCCCAAGACCATGAGCCTGAGGAACTCCACCACCAACCTGGCCACGGAGTCAAGAAGCTCAGGGAGGTTGCTATGTAGCAGTGAGGCTGGTACAATAGCAACAGCGACTGATCCCTCTTAGTGCCCAGCTTAATCAATAGGGTCTCGCACCCGGCAATCTGAGGAGCAGCATCCCTAGATGCCTCCCAAGTAAGTCAGATGAGCACCATTACCCCCCTGCCCCTACCCTGGGGCTTTGGCTGGTGGCACACCCGGAACCCAGCTGGGCATATCTCAGAGAGAGAGCCCTCCCACCTCCTGTCCCAGTCAGGCCTTGGTAATGAGTGCCAGGTCTGCCTTTTCATCGACAATCAGGTCGTGAATAAGAGTGGCCTTGTTACAGACTGGCCTGGCATTGAGCAGCAGCAGCAGCTGACAATCCAGGGCCTTGAAAGTCTGCCACCCAGGGCCCAGGGGCGGGTTCGAGGGGCTGGAACGTGCCGCAGGGACTGTCAGCCCTCCCAGGTAAACCAGACAAGAAACACAACCAGATGAGCTAATTCTACTTTATTGTAAGGCTACATTAACAGAATTTTGCAAGTCTGAAAGTACAAATCTCCCTTCCTCCCTATTTACCGCCTATTTACCGTAGTTAGGGGGGGTCCTTCCTAAGTTTCTTTTTTTGGACGTTACTCTGTTGCGGACTTTATTTTTTATCGTTTCCTAGGTGGCACCTCTTCCTCCCATCTGCCAGGGTCACCCTCACTTTCCATCCCAGGAACAATGTACTTGTGGCCTGTCCTCATTAGTGGCCTGCCCTGCGTCTCCTGTCGTATCTCCCCTTAGCCATCACTACTGGGATGTTACAACCTGCCCTCATCCCTTCAGGGCCTTCCCCTGTGCATAAAGGTCCATGCCCAGGCCCACACCCCCGCATCACTCTCACAATGTACAGTCAAGCCAATAAGGGCTCCCTAATACCAGAGGCACTTCTCCAGTAGTTGATGCTCAGCGCCTCCAGCTAATCAGGGACCACCTCACCTCATCCCCCACCTACCGTGCCATCAGCCAGTCCCCTCTCACCAGACTGCTTAGGCCTCGATTGCACAATCCCAGTGGGTCAAAGAAACCCCCTCCCCCAGCTCTCACCCGTGTGAAGGTGGACAGAATCACAACCCACAACCTAAAACTTTCCAACTCAGGACTAGTCCCATTCCAATTTAATCCTTTCAGTCGAGTCCTCTCGGATCACGATGACTACCAGTGAAAACAGTTCACGCTGTGAAATGTGTGGCTGAATGCACTTTGTTCCTTCTATGTGTTCAGATGTTGCTCTTTGTTCTGGGGGACACTTCGTGGGTTTGGGTAAATCACATGATTTTGAACCACAGGGTGATAACAGGGTGATCACTGCTTGTACAGCAGAACTGGTGTGGCACACACCAGCCTGATCCCCAGCACATATGTACACCTGTTTAAACCTTTGCATGCTATGTAAATACGTGTGGTTGAACATGCTGATAGAAGTAACAGATAAGCTAGTCTGATCAAGATTCCTAATAGCAGTTAAGTTTATACAGCTGAAACTCTGCAGACAGCACCCACAGATCTAGAAAGCAACTGGGTTTCCAGGGACGTTCGTGGGCTAAGAATATGTGTGCGCCCATGTTCCCTCCCTACTTTAGCTTTATTTATTTTCAGGTGGCTGCCTCCATAAGAGAGCTGTACTACGCCTATTTTCCACTTTCTTATACAGGGTAGTGGAAGGGTGTATTCAGACAGACAGCTCCTACTCTTGCTGGTTAAAGGATACTGTATGTTGCTGCTCTGTCATTCCTCCCAAAGATCCCTAAATGAGGCAGGTCAATTGCACAATAAAATCCTTGGCTGGAAGCATCTGTATCCTGAGAAATATGCCCACAAAAATAACTGGTGAAAGTAAGTCAGTGTTGTCCAAACTTGGCCACTTTAAGATGAGTGGACTTCAACTCCCAGAATTTCCCCCCCCCCCCCCCCCCC